CATTCCGAGTCCCGACCTCCGAAAATCGCTGCATGCAACTCTGGCAACACCGCGCGAGCATTGTCTGTAGGGAAGTACAGGTTTTCCCGCTCATTTTAATCCAAGCGACGACCAATTTAATCCCGGAATCACTCAATTCAACCCAAGCGTCATACAATTTAATCCAAGCAGCACACAATTTAATCCTGGGGTCAGTCAATTTAATCCACAACATATAAATATGCACTTATTGTGTTCAGTGGTCGTGTTTCGCTTACAGATTTGGGAACTTAGAACAATTGTTTATGCAATTAGAATTTTTGGGGGGCAATTGATAATTTGATCATTAATGTGATTACTTTGAGTTACTAGTCCCACTTTGGACGAGGCTTGATTGATATGTTGGTTACTCTTTATAGAGCGCAGCTCTTAGCTTAAGCACCCGTTTCCGGGTTGAGCAGCGTCATAGTCGCTGTCGGCGTAACGACGCGGTGCATGATGGGTAAATTTCCTTGCTAATTCTAGCAGAAAGTATTCACTACCAAATCTAGCGGAAAAATTTCTCAGCTAGATTTAGCGGAAAATTTGCCCCGCCAAATCTAGTGGAAAGTTTTCTCCGCTAAATTTAGCGGAAAATTTTCCCCGCTAAATCTAGCGCAAAACTTTTCCCGTTAAATCTAAGGGAAAATTTTCCCAGCTAGATTTAGCGGAAAATTTGCCCCGCTAAGTCTAGTGGAAAATTTTCCCCGCCTAATCTAGCGGAAAATTTTCCCCACTAAATTTAGCGGAAAAGTCTCCCCGCTAAATTTAGCGGAAAATTTTCCCCGCTATATTTAGCAGAAAATTTTCACCGCTAAATCTAGCGGAAAAATTTTCTAGCTAGATTTACCCGACAATTTTCCCCGCTAAGTCTAGCGGAAAATTTTCCCCGCCAAGTCTAGCGGAAAATTTTCCCCTCTAAATTTAGCGGAAAATTTCCCTCGCTAAATCTAGTGGAAATTTTTCCTCACTGAAATCAGTGGAAAATTTTCCCCGCTAAATCTAGCGGAAAAATTTTCCCGCTATATTTAGAGGAAAAATTTTCAAGCTAAATTTAGCGGGGAAATTTTTCTGTGAAATTTAGTGGGGAAACTCTTCTGCTAGATTTAGCAGAGAAAATTTTCCACTAAATTTAACGGGGAAAATATTTCGCTAAACTTAGCGGGGAAACTTTTTCGCTAGATTTAGCGGGAAAAATTTTCCGCTAGATTTAGCGGGGAAATTTTTCCGCTAAACTTAGCGAGGAAATATTCCCGCTAAATTTAGCGGGGAAAATTTTCCATTATATTTAGCGGGAAAAATTTTCCGCTAAATTTAGCAGGGAAAATTTTCCGCTATATTTAGCGGGGAAAATTTCCCGCTGGATTTAGTGGGGAAAATTTTCCGCTAAATTTAGCGAGGGAATTTAGTCATCATGCACCGTGTGGCGACGGCGACACCGCTCAAGCCGGAAAGGGGTGGCTAAGAGCTGTGCTCTAAAAAGAGTAACCAACATATCAATTAAGCCTCGTCAATAGTGGGACTAGTAACTCAAAGTAATCACATTCGTGATCAAATTATCAATTGCCCGCCAAAAATTCCAATTCTATAAACAATTGTTCTAAGTTACCAATTGTGTAAGTGAAACACGACCACTGAACACAATAAGTGCATATTTTTATATTGTGGATTAAATTGTGTGGCGCTTGGATTAAATTGAGTGACCCCGGGATTAAATTGGTCGACGCTTGGATTAAAATGAGCTGGGAAACCTGTAATGGCCAGGAGCGGGCAAAGTGGCAGACTGTAAGGTATTGGTTTGGGTCAACGCATTGACGCGGCAAACCGTGCACAACCTTCAGATTATATCCCAGCTGTGGTCTGTAAATGATCCGACTACCGGGGCTGCGGCATTTCAGTGGTTTCAATACTAAATTCAAACGAAGTCTGTTCCGGAACCGACCGAAATCTTAATAGACCCTTTCCAAAATTCAGTCTGGCCACTTTGATCACCATCATCATCTGAAAAATGGCATTTGTGCCTTACTAATGGCAACCTTCTGTTTACTGATGAAGGAAGAGGTTGAAGATGCCCCTTGGCAGATAATCCGAGGCTTATACATTCGTGACATTAGCACGATACGAAGCAGGAACTGAAAGCAAGGTCTGCGTAAGTGTGCATTTCTAGCTCGTGCCCAGTCGATCTGTTGGTAGCATCAAGGTGCTCCAAAGCTCATCGATTTGTAGAACTTCATCAGGCCGTGTACGTGGGTTGACGCTTCGTTCTGACTGGTTCTTTGTTTCTATCGTCACTAAAAGAGATAGAGAAGGAAATATACAGTGAAGCGCACACTGTCGTTTGCCGTTGACTTGCCAAAGTGACGGCGCCCGATAAAATATGGCAGACTACATTTTCATTGCCGCCATTAGTATGGCAAAAGTTAAACTGCCATTATAGCCACCAGAGGGCACTGATTTTCAGGAAGGGTCTATTCCACATAGGGATCAGCACTTTTCGAGTTTGTTTGTGTACATGATCACGACGTACATGTGTGCCAAAATGCTTCCCTCTGACAAAATTATCTTTCAAGCTGCAGTGGAGATTTTCTGTAAAACTTAGGTTGACACTATAGTGGCCACTTTTGATCTCCCAAACAGTGTAAACAGCCACGATAGGATGGTGTGCATGCAATCGCGTTTCCTGTTGCATTGCAAACCTCCATTTTAACCTTGTAGTGCAAGCACTTAGTAGTGAGTTTCAGGTCGTTTTCAGAGGCCCCCATCGCCCTGGGCGCGCGCTTCAGAGCAAGCTTCGAAGTGGCAGCATGACCTCTCGCTACACATAGCGTTGCCGGAAAACATGATCTACTAAAACGTCCTATTATGCATTACGAATTTATACTTCGTGTCATCTTAACGTGGATAAGCGCAAAGGCTACGAGTGCGAGCTCCTCGAGCTGAACGGCGGTTCGGCTGCACGAGCAGCCGGGCGGCCACCGGTCAATGGCTGCATTTACATGGATGCAACCCTAGCGCATTGAGTCGAGATTTCACGATTTTGATTGGTAGCAGTTGGGTAGAAGAGGAAGAAGTAGGAAGACAGGCTGCGTGTGGATTTAGTAGATTGTTTTCAGAGGCCCGCTATCACTCCAGGCACGCGCTTGAGAGCATGCTTCGAAGTGGCAGCACGAGCTCTTGTGGTAGCGCGTGCTCCTAAACATAGCATTGCCTGAAAACATGATCTACTAAAGCTCTCTAGTGACACTAAGTACAGACGCGATGGGGGATCGGTGGCCGAGTGGTCTAGCGCACACCAGCTCGGAGCACGTGAAGCGAAAGCTCGCGCTGCAGAGCCCAGGGATCCTGGGTTCAATCCCCACCCCTGCCTGTTTCGATCTGGATGAGAATCGTACCGGCGTGCGGTCAAGTATCACTACTGCGTGATGCACAATAAAACCCCCAGGCTAGCGGTTGTGCTGCACTGGCTAAATTTTTCATCTACAGCTGGGAGACAAGTCGCCCATTGAGACAGACCAAGTTCTAGGCTGTATAAACATACACACAACCCCACCTTTTTTTTTTATACACACAATCGGCAAGTAATGAAAAGAAAAATTTAAAATAAAATAAAAATGCCACCCTCACGCGGATGCAGTTGTACGTGACGATGTCGACTCCACATGGCACACGACCCCACCGCCCCACATGTCTAACAATTGAAACCGAAACTTCATGGCCAACTAGTTCCCTGCATGCAATGCGTGGACTTGGCCGTGGTGAGGCGCTTCGTGTTTTGTAAGAAGTCTAACTAGAGCGCCTACATGTTTCTGCGTTTCCGCCGTCCGGAAACCTCTAGGCACCCCAAGTCTAAAGCAGGGAACACATGAGCGGCAAAAACGTGCGCTGCGTGCTGATTCCCATATTAACAGCCCAGGACGCTGCGAGTTAGACCAATGCCAAGCCGCCACGTCACAGCATGTGCGCAACCTGCCATGGAAACTGCCGTGCGGCACCCTTTTTTGTTGCTCATATGTTCCCTGCTTAACATGGCATTGTATTGTGGCAATTCTGGGCTTACAGCTGAACTTAGTGGACTAAGCGATGGCGGAGGACGAAGGGCGTGGGACTTGTATTTCATAACTGTTTCTTCGTAGTATTGGCAAATCTGTCTAGCTTCGAAAAAAAAAAAAATTGTTTACCTATGAAAACAAGTAGGATGCATTCCTTAAGGCACGCCCGACCATCAAGCCGATTCGCACGAAGATGTCGTTGAGTCGTTGCCCCTTCTCCTGGCTGAAGGCATTGCTCATCTAACGAACACCAGCTGTCCAGCCCGCTGCTCCCGCGATACGATACCAAGTTGAGAATTACGCAGGGAATGCACAGAACGCTTCCAATACTTTCTGCAAACTTTTTTTCAATCAATGTATTAGCAGCTTTTTAGAAGCCACAAAAAATGGGTTTCATCTTTTTTTTCTATTTTGATATTGAGTGTGTGCCTTCGATGACCCACGACTGGTTATATTTCGTGTGCATGTCTCAATCGCACGTGACCATGTAGAAGGAAGTGAGCGTGATTCAAACCGGCCAGTTCTCGATCGGCGGTTTTAGGGCGAAAAGGAAACAAATTTCGAGCTGCAAATTCAGTTTTGGGTAGTTTGACTCTCATATCTCATGTACACAAAAAAAACAACCTTGGTGAGCATAAATACTGCACGCCAGTGCCTGTAATACCACACTAGGGTATTACAGGCACTGGCGTCTATAGCAGAAATCATTTTGAAGCAAAAACTAAAACATTCGGCACTTCGCACATGCATCTCTCAATGGCTTTGAATATTTACTTTGAATCTTCCCTAGTAGCGAAAGAAGCACGTGCAACGTATGCATCTAGGTACCCAGCATTCTTCTTTGTGCTGAGGAAATTCGACAAAAGGTCTACTCCATTCCCCAAGGTGCTAGAAAAGATTAAAATCGTCGCCCAAAACAAAAACAAACGTTGGTCAGTTTTTCTAAAGAAAGCTTTAATTATTTATACCCCCATACAGCTCTCCCCAAATAGGAAAAAACATATGTAATGCACAAGAGAAACCTGTACTCAATCGCCATTTCAGGAGCCTACCCCGTGTCCGATGCGGAACGTCATAAAATTCCGCAGCCGCAGCGACCGTGCCCCGACCGAAAGCAGACCACTCCGCTCGAGATCTTCCCTTTCGTCGCGAGTAAACCCACATCAGCAACACAGAAGCACAGTACAAAAAAAAAACAAAGCAATTCACTCTCGCTCGTAGCTTATTATATGGTTCAGAGACAGGGGCGCAGGCCCATCGATCCACACGCTTATGGCATGTGTCCGCCGGAAAATTGGCAAACAACCCCTTCCCGCAGACACGATTCTGTTGGGAAGTCTAAAACACAACGATACCGGAGTAAACGAACTGCCAAATTCTCCTCGTGTCTCCGGAAAGGGTTTGCCACACTGCCGGCCCTTCCGCTGTAGGCAGTACAGATACATTTACAAGGTTTCACCTGCCCGACGTTTTCTTCTTCAACGTTTCGTTCTCCTCTCCCCGTGTGGAAAGAATCCATTCGACCACAGTACGCATTGTTCCCAATCAGTGTCCTCCCCGCCCTCTATCACAATCTCCGGGGGAGGGGTGGGTTAGGCTCTCGTAGCGTCCTCCGTACGGTCTTCGACGCTCCTCCAAAGAGTATGTACACGTGGGCGGATGCGGCCATTCCACCCGGAGGTCCGAACGCCGCCTCTCGAAAACCCCGTAGTGGATATCTGCCCCCAAATGGCATCACCGACGGGGTGCCCCTGGCTTTGGCCTCGGCGGGGGGCGGTGCTTGGGCGCCGCGAGAGGTGCCACGCCGGGCACGTGGGCCGTGCTGCGGGCTCAGGCGTAGTAGCTGGGGGACACCAGGAGATCCGTGATCACTGCCAACTGGTCGTCCGTGAACATCACCTTGTGGTCGCGCCACGTGTCGTGGTGGGTGCGCCGGAAGTTGGACAGCGTCTTCTTGATGGTCGCCTGCGAGACACAACCAGGGTTGCAAACACTGCGGGGGTCAAGCGAGGTCCACATCTGTGGTCATGTAGCGAGGCGATGTAATTCGTACGGTTGCGAAAAGAATTACTATAAGGCTGTCGCATTGAGCGTCACTTTTAGATGAGCTACCCATGCGGTGCGTTTCAAAAAACTAAAAAATCCAATGTCAGCGAGCCATCTGCAGCCTAGCCGGTGAAACCTTGAGCTATTTTCTCTGTTGATACGCACGCAAGCGATGCTTTGTTTGCATTCTTATGGCGTCGGCAGGGATCTCCCCAAAGTGGGCGGCGGTGGTTTGGCCGCCCACCAATCTGGCCAGCTGCCCATCTCTACCGTGTCCAGACCACCTCAATATTTTCCCTCCGCCGGACAAGACGATGCGGATTTTGAAAATGCACGACGCCCCAGCGAGGACGCCTAAGCACTTCTTATGAGTTGTGATTGTGAACGCATGAACGTCGTTCTTCCGCTCCCTCAGTTCGTCTGCAGTGTACTGGTGTTGACGGCCACATTCCACTACTGCCGAGGTTGCGGCCGCCACCGATAGAGATAGGCACTGCCATGCTCCTCGGCACCGAGAGGAGCGGGCAGCCCAGCTCCCCCTCTCGTAACGCCTAACGCAAGAGCGGCGGCCGAGCGCGCATTCTCATGAAGCGGCTGTCAATGGCAATCTAGGAGCCGTTTTGTTCAGCCAATGGGAGAAGGGACATTTGTTTCGCGTTTTTTTGCAGTTACAGATGCCGCTGGCTCGGCCCCATGGGACCCCCCCAGCGTTTGCTTTCGCATTAAAACATGTTTACTTGACGTTTTTCGTAGATTTTCTTCTTTACTTGGAAATTTTATATTGTAAACTTTAATATTCTGCATACACGTTGTAAACCTCTCATAGAACAAAGGCTCGTTCACACTCTTGCAACCGAGTACGACTGAGAGAGACAAGACTGTTGAAACCTCCTAAAATTTCGTAGGACAAGAGAACACACTAGTGTGTAGGAGCCATCTATGCAGTGACCCTGGAACTGCATTTCACAAGAGCGAAGGTTTTGCAGAAATTCCGAGGTCAAATGTGCGTAATACCTATGAGGAAGGCTCGTTTATAACGTTGACAAAAGTTTTATGAAAGAAAGGATAATGCGCGAGAGAAATGAAAAAATATGACAGACAGCCAAGTTTCCACTGCTACCCAATAAATGGCGCCAGTGTACCCTCTCGTCATAAGAGATTTTTAGAGGTTTTAAGGCGCCCGGTTGTAAGAGGTTGAAAGTGTGTGAACGGGCCCTAAGCAAGAGAAGTTATCACTACCTGCGTGCTTCGGTGTGAAATTGACGGCTGTGCAAATTACCGTAGTGAAACCTTGGCAATATTCGCGCCTCGAACTATGAAATTTTATATCTCCGGAGTAAAATAGACCGATCTCACCAACCAGTTTGACTACGCCACCGCTGCCGCAATGCATCGAGGGAACTTTAGTCTTTCTGCACACGCGACAACACCGCGGGAGTTCTTGCGCGTGTAGAGCACGAAACAGCAGGAGCCCTCTCGTGCACTGCCTCCTGTGAACTAAAGTTGGGGCGGCGTCACACATGCGCCCAACGTTTAGTGAGATCGATCTATTACAGGGTGTCTACCGACCGGGAAAACCGGTAATTGTCAGGGAATTTTAACACACCTGGAAAAGTCGGGGAATTGTCAGGGAAATTTCCAAAAAGATTGCCGAGTCAGGGAATTTATCCTATGCTCGCCCGCTTACGCTAGAAGCGGCAGGCACGGGCTGGCATAGCCACGAGCGCAGTCAAGTGCGGCGTCGCGACCCCCTAGGCGCGATGCGACCCGCCCAACTTTCCACGCGCTACGCTTCACACGAGAGCATGTACGAAGCTGGCGACTCCTCGTTGTTTTAGTACTCTAAAGCCACTAAATAAGCTACACTTTAGGGTAACAACGCTAAAGTATGGCGGCTAAAGAGTTGCTCACAGTTACTAGTGAAGCAGAGTAGCAGCGGCAATTTTGTTTAGTTCGTGACTCTAGTCAGGTGGTGCTGCTCTAGTACGAGGAGAGACAGTTGCTCTAGCCGATACTAGGTGGCGCGAGTCACCACTCACTCGAAAAAGAACAGCCGTCGTTCATTTATCTACCCTCCGAGAGGCGCGCGCCTAGCGATCCATTCGTTTGTCAGATATGGTGCTTTCGCGCTTCCCCGTAAATGCAACCTGGACGCCTGTACTCTATGAGCTCTGCCATGTGCGTTTGTGGCTGTGGGTTGCGCTTTCTGTTGTGTTATTTTCCGAAAGTGGAGATATGTGAAAGTGACTATGTCGCTGTCGAGAAAGTGCTCCTTCAATCTCAACTGGACAAACCGAGACATACGCACGAATGCAAGTTGGATTCGGCCCATTCCAAATGATCCAAATAGTGCTCACTGCGCAACGTGCTGCAAGAAGTTCTCCCTAAGCAACATGGGGAATAGGGCGATTGCTACTCATGCTAAGGGTAAGAAACATCAAACTGCTATGAAATATCTGCAAAGCGTTTCCCAGAGCCCAGTCGTATATTTTTCAAAACTGCGACAAATGCGGACTTCCCTTCCGCGACAGCAAAGAGTGTTTTTTGTCCGGTGGTAACAATAGTGCTTGTAGGCCTCCGGCAATGCGTCTAACCACCGCCACGGAAGCTCTTAGCCCCTCTGTAAAGACGTGGGTGGTGGCTTTTTATTGAAGAAGGAAGTCACAAAGGCCGGGGATCGTGTGGTGCTTGAACACTATAACAACTCATGGCTCTTTCCGTTCAGCGGCAGCGCCTGCCTCGCTGTTTCCGCTGATGTTCCCCATGTGTGAGACCGCCAGAAAAATGCAGCTTGGAAAAGACAAAGTGGGATATACAATATGTCGTGGTATCGCCCCCTACTTTCAAGACAACTTACTAGCAAGCCTCTCTAACGTGCCATATCTGGTGGTTGCTTTTGATGAGTCACTGAACAAAGTAACTCGGAGAACAAATTGATGGACTGATCAGGTGCTGGGACCAAACTCCCTGAAACAGTAAACCCGGGTCAATGCTGTATTCTAAACATCTTCTAAAGTTTGCTTTATCTAACTTAAAGAAAACATTTTACGTTGCGAACAGTGTCTATCTATCGTATATTGTGTTTTGGTGTCGGTAATTGTGGGTCAGGGAATTCAATTAAAATAGTCTGGGAAAACCTGGAAAAGTCAGGGAATTTTTAAAAAACAATTTGGTAGACACCCTGTATTAGCTACAACGTTAAAATATAGCTTAATGCTCCTTCCAAGAACGTGGCTTTGGTGAGTATTTTTTTACATAAATATAAAAAAAAAAAAAATTATTCGGGCCATTATTCTGCTCTGGAAACACCCAAGAGCTAAAAACGATTACAATCGGTGACAGGTTACCAACCAAGCGGCAAACGCCCCTAAAAGAGATTCACGAAGTGATGGCCTGTAGCAGAGCCGGTTGGTTATCCATGCTTACTGATTACCAGCTGAACGTTAGGAAAAGCGACGAAGAGAGAAAGAAACACACTGCTGGACTATCAACCCTTTTTAATAAACTTCCTTTTCCTCAAACCAATCCTAAAAGGGTAGCTTCTTCTACTTCAGTCGGAGCTTAGACAGAAACTTCCTTTTTCTCCTCACGATCCGTGGAGTTTTTGTCTTCTTCGACTTTCGGATCTTGAAAAATTTCCTTCTTTTTGTCTTTTATACTTCCGGTGGTTTTACCCTCGTTTCACTCGGTCAGATCTGGGAGTCACAAGGTCCCAACTTGGTTCATCCGAGGTGCCGCTCTCCTCGGATACATTTTTTCTTTGGGCAAAAGTGCAATGGAGGCAACACTGACGAATTCTCCCTCCCCCTCCTCAATGGCCAACGCCTCAAGGAGCTCCCTTCCAAGCTGCTTCCGGTGTTTTGCTAAGACGGCGACGCTTGTGAAATCAGGAGCACATTTGCAGGCCCGACAATGTGCCGAAAGGTGGCCCGCCGACGTTAGTGCGGTTACAGAGGCTGCATGTTCTCTGGTGCGATCGTTGATGCACCTCCCGGTTTGTCCTATGTAGCTTTTGCCACATGACATAGGGATCTTGTAAACAACTCCTTTTTCGCATGGGACGTAGGGTGTTCGATGCGCAGTGCTGCAGGTCGTCGTCCCGTTCTGGGCGGTTTTCCGGTTCACCCTACGGCACATGGCGTAGGCCTTGTTGGGGGCGGAGCACACAATATGAATGCCTTGTCGGCCGGCGATCTTTTTTAACCGATGAGTAATGTTGTGAACATACGGGACCACTGCGAAAGGCGTTGGGGGCTTCTTTTGCGTTGTTTTATTCTTCTCAGGATTTTGACGTACTTGCCTACAAAGCTTTTCACATACTGGTACGAGGAGGGTACTCGAGTACGTAGAATCCTGGAGTCGACCCAGCTGTTCTTGAAAGCAGCGCCCCACCTTATGAGGGCAGGACTTCTGTAGCGCCGAGACTAAAGCTCTGGTGGCCAACCCCCGTTTTACGTTTTTGGAATGTTCCGCTTTTCCTAACGTTCAGCTGGTAATCAGTAAGCAGAGATTCACGAAACTCCGTTAGCTTCCCCTTATTTCTTTGAGGCCACCGATGCCTTGCCTTGACAAACTATCTTTTCTCATTGTGGGAGCGAGTGCGGTTGGCAATGTCGAAGAAGCCGGGGGGGGACACTGGGTTCTTGCGGCGATTTTCCAACTTTCTGTCTACCCGAATTTAGGCTCTAAAGTCACGACAGGATCCGGTTTTGCCTCTGTTAGTTTCTTTCTGACGACATGAAAATCCAACGGTAGTACTGCTATCAAAACGTTTGTCATGCCTGCTCCGTGGAGTGCGGTTAGTCCTGGCAACTGTCATGGCTACGTCGGTGCCGCCGTGGCCGGCATGCCTCGTTGGCACCGACGGCTTTCTCTCGCAAGTTCGACGCTCCCTGTGACTAAAAGAAATCGTAGTGGCG